AATATTGGGATTAGATATTATTCCTCGTCACATTATTCCCACGTATATTGGCATTGTTGTGGATTTAGAATAAATGTTAGTTCGAAGTAAGCTGAGCTAGTAAGCTTAGTTTACTGGGCCTATACTGAACTCAAACTTGAACAGAAAAAAAGTCTTCCCATCACAAAACCCGGACATTTCAAGTAAAAAAAATGACGTATTGGAGCTTACACATGTGCATATTATTTGCACTGACACGTCAGAGGTATAGGAAGTATGGGGACCTCGAGAAGTAGTAGGATGCAATAAATAAGGGTCTGTGTATCTAAAAAAAATGAAAACTAAAGTCAAGACAAATGCTCCTGCAGCTAAATTCAGCCATAATATTATTATCATGAATCGTTGACCTCTAGGCTCAATATTACGGGAAAATACAACCTCTAGCAAATTCTGCATCAGCTTATCAACCCGATGCTTTCGCCCATGCCTCATGTTTTATGCACATTTAATATTTTCTTTCCCATTAACCATTGTTTTCACTGAAACAGAAGGAAATAATGCCATTGTGTCAACAAAAGCAATATGAAGCCTTCCATCAAAGGCAAGGCCAATGTGAATAAATATTTAAACACCAGTTGAGCTGCTCATAGTTGTGGTTCCTGAAGCAATGTAACAGAGAAGTATTATGACCCTTTTACCTCGGTGTCCTTTTAGGAGCAATACCTCAGTGTGTATATTCCCCCTTTCTGGAAAATTCGCCAGATGGAACTTAAAAAAGACAAGAATTACAACATGGACAGGCAGACAGAGTAATTTTTTTTATTTGAATAATATTCATTATCCATTTAGTGTTTTATTAGCAGGAAATAGGGCTGTTTAGGAGAATATTTTTTTGCAGCCAAGGGAAAAGTGATTTAACTACAGTAGTTAATTTTTTCCATATTACTCAGTTGCCCTTCTCCATTCGGGATCAGGCAGGGCCCACGTTACACGAAGGGTAAATCTCTCACAAGAGAATATACCAGCATCGATGAATAACGAATCTGTCTCCCGTGCCACAAAACTGGCCTTATTGTCCATTGCACTCATCCACCTCCTGTATAATACGTCTAAGCCTGATTTCGCGGCCATGCATAATAATGATAAAGACAGTGCCGTTGCAATTCTAGTTGGTGCGTTCTGTATAATCAATGACAACGTCAAACTGTCAATATGGTGTGCAAAGTTAACATTTAATCCGCTTATACAGATATGCCTATTCTCATTAGATATTTCTATTAGGAAAAGATATATCTCTATTCCTAAAAGAGATATCTCTATTCCTAAAAGAGATATCTCTATCCCTAAAAGAGGTATCTCTATTGTACGTCCTGTTTTAATAGAGATATTTCTATTATATTTCCGGTCCCACACACAGGCTCAACGAGAAGGTCATTGTCAAGTAACGCACAAAGTTTCACTGAGGCAGGGGCATGTCACGTTTCCTAAGGTAAACAACTACGGGAGTACAAGTACTAAGACATGATTCAAAGCCTTTCAAGATAGTAGATTTTTCAACACAAAACGTCGAAGGCGATCTGCCGACCTCGGAAGCAGAAACTTAACCGAGATATCTCTATTCCGGGAATAAATGTCAACTTTGCACGCCAAAGTCTAACGAATTCAATGTTACTTCTACTCTTCACACAAAAATTGGACGGGATAGCATTTCATCCATGATTATTTCAAGTCGTCCTAACCAATGCAGTGCCTCATCATCATAAGGCTGAAACTCTTGCATCTCAGCTGATAAGATACGAACTTATCGCTTGTGTTCTTCATTGCTTACCTCAGTGAACCTAGACGGAACAGAACGAAATGTATGCAGTCCTGGGCTTTGAATACACGCTGGAGTCCATTGCGGCTTTTAATTAATTTCAGTTAATTAATTAATCAATTTAATTAATTAAATTATGGAACACTCCTCATTTTGTCAGATACAGATGATGGAAACACCTGGCCATATACCT